CCCCCCCTTTGTTTGAGTTTGTTAACGCGGGGAGGGGGCGGTGCCGCCTAGCTGTCTGTCCATGTGGGTAAGAGCGCAAGCTAAAATGTGTTGAATTCTGTCAAATGTGTTGTAGGTTTGTGGAACGTCGTCATCGTTATCCATTCTTGGTGTCAGATTTTACCTTTCGGAGTGCGTACTTGCCGGAAGCCTGTCTGGGTAACTGGGGAATGGATTCTGTGTATTTTATGCGCCGACTCGAGGATTCTGCACGCGCATTTTTGTCGTTTTTTGTCACTACCGCTATGATACCAGTCCGACTTCTGGGCGATGTTGATCGGTTTGCTTCGCAATGGATATGCTGTCTCGGTGAGAGGCTATGCCCTCGCTTGTCGTGTGCATTCGTCGGTGTTGTACCGTCCCTCGTGGACGCATTCCGCACGTTTGCGGGGGTCTCACCCTCCCTCACCATTTCTCTCCACGCTGCTTGCTGTACGGAAGGAGGGCTAACGCACAGCCTCCGGATTCGAAAAATATGTAGTCTTACGTGTTGCCAAATAGTGCGCATAGAGGAGGGGAGGAGGGGGAGATTTCACATGGTATGCGTCTTCTCCAACGTTGTGGTGACTAACCAGAGCGTGGGCGCTTCTGTCGGCAAGTGTGGGACGTGTTGTTACCATGCCAAGCTGTGAAACTAGCTCGTCTTTTTTTGTTGTTTCGGTTTGTTGCCCGTGCTAGTCTCTTCTGGATGTTTGCTCTAGTTACAGAGCTTTGTCCGTTGTTAATATTTGTAGCGTTTTTTCGTCAAATGCGTCAGCATCGTTTTGTCTTGCGCGTGACGTGGAGAGGTTTTTTTTGTTTTCATTGGAGTCCTAGTTCGTAGCTCCCGGTCGTGCTGCTGCTGTAGGTCGGGAGGGCTGTAGCTGAGGAGGCAACTGCCCCTAACGAGGACGTGGATGTTGGCTCCTTGTTCAAGACGGTGATGGTGTAGCTCGTGGCGTGATAATGGTGGAACGAGTGGCTGGTCTGGCCACGCGTGTAAGGCCGGCGTGTTGTAACGTCCAATCTACAGCGTTGATTTGACACTTCTTACTTGTACATCAGGGCATGTCCTTCTCGAACATCTCTCTCCGATTCGGAGCAGATACATCGACCATGGCATGCTTCCGCCAGACGTCGTTGGCTCGTATCGTTGCGTACACCAATGTGCATGGAACTCCGTTACGTACTCTCGAAAAGTTGCCGTGATTGTTCTCGGGCCTTTTCTTGATTGCTCGCTGTTCCGCGGACCGCCCCTGGTGGCCCACATGTTGTGCCCCCGGTAAGGCTTGGATGAGGCACAGCATGTACGTGCAGCAGAGCACCTACAAAACATGAATGGTCCGCACACTGACTCCCCGGGGTTTTTCGCTTCTCCTTTCACCTTGGCACAAAACACCAGTGGTGTTAATCCTCCATGTACCCACGACCCGCTCGTTTGTAATATAGGCGAAAATAGGGTGGTGATCCGGGCGTCTGCACACGGCTGAAATCCACCGAGGATTGCGCATCTTTCAAAAGAGCTACATGACGAACTACATTCTTGCCATACCTCGATGTGTCGCAACGAAACTTCTGGCCTGTGGCGCACACAGTTACATAGTGGCGCGGGGTAGACGGCGTGGGTGGGCACCTTCGACACTGATGAGATGTCTCACCTACTTTACGTGATGCCGAGACAACAAGCAGCTAATTACTATTAAAAACAAAAAAATCTGCTGCCCGGGGGAGCAGCTAGTTGAAGTTGAAAAAGACAAAAAGGATGGTTCTATTTTAATCCCTCTTCGTCTGTCGATGGCGCCTTTCGTTTCCTCTTTCCGCTCGATGGTGTCTTCTTGTCGACTCCTGCTGGGGGGCTCGAGAACACGTGCACAAATGCGTTGCCGGACACCTTGATTGTGGCATCACGCGTACCGGTGCAAGAAGGAGCGCGCGTCGGCGTTGGGGGGGGGGGCAGCACAATATCCGTCGTCATGAGAGGGTAGTCTCTCAGCGTGGTGGGCAGCTAGATACTGCTCTTGCTTGTCGCTTGTTTCTGTCCGGTTTCTCCTCGACCTTTCCAAGTGCTTCCCCACTTTAGCACTAGATCTCGGCAAGACACGCGCCTATCAACATGTCCTAAATGGAAGGAAACATCGAACGTGTGTCAAACTCTCGTTTCATGTTGTCTCTTCCGCCGAGTTGGGCTGCGAAAAAACAGCTGCATAGGTATGAGCAAGCACACGGCCCTTTCGGGACTATTCCTCTGGACGGAGTGTTGAACCTCGGGCACTAAACTTTTGCGGATTGTTTAATCACCTTGTCATTAGTGAAACGCACACCTTCCTCTTCCAGCATTTTCCTCTTGCGGCGCGTATCGGCACAATCTCCAAAGCTGCCACTGGACACAGACGGCATTAGAATATTGAATTCCCCCCGGGCATTGTTCGTAAATTGGGACGGCAAAATTGCGTGAGCTGCAATACGGTCGCCGTTTCGGTAGCAGTGCCGATTAACACTGTGAAAAAATATCGGCGGACATGGGGAAAATTCAATTAATTGCTTATGTCCAGGTCCCATTTGGACGAAACGGCTCCGATTCACAGTTCTGAACGAAAGGGCGCCGTAGGGTCAATTATCCTTCTCGAGGACTTGACATCTCCGATTGAACATCGCTGTTTATGCCAACGACAACGACGTTGACAGCGACGACAAGAACGATAACGACTAACGGCAACGACGACGAACCACGGGATGTATGTCACACCTGAAACCTCCGATGGTGAGGTCACCCATGACGACGCGATGGCAGGGAACCACGGGGGCGAACGGATTACCCTGCGCAGGGCGGACGTCCGCCAATTGCAGGCAAACGTCGCAGCAGTAGCGTCAACAAAGCCCACGCCGCCAAGAAGGTGGCTAGTCAGGGAAGACAACAAAGGGCTAGGTTGGTTCCGAACGGATCACCAACACTCAAACAGAGGGTCGCCGGCCACAACGAAGCAAAATGGAAGGAGCATGGACCACACATCAATCTACAGACACCGCTGCTCGTTTTTAGGCGATTCGACGAGGAGGGAAGGTTTCCCAATATCAAGCGGATGACTGCTAGCCAATTCGATCGCCACATGTATGCAGAGATGAGCGAAACGCAAAACGATGGAACCAATCGACAAATACAAGAAGACACGGGCGAGATTTCATGCGCTCAGTGAAATTGAGCTAACCCTGTTTCTCCGCCGATACATTCTGCACACAGAGGCCAACAGCAGTAGTGGACCGTTGTGTTCTGTCCCCGTCAAGGCATTCATATGGTAGAAGCGAGGACAAAGCGCGAGGTTTTACTCCGCCCCCCGCCCCCTCTCCAATAATACGTGGTCAACTTCTTTTTACTACTTCAAGGCGGAATGAAGGCCGGGGCGGAAAGCTACTTCCTTGGTAGGTCTAAATACGTTTCGGTTTGTGCGAGAGGTGCGTTCACCTCCCGCAAGTCGAACTCCTGAGGAGACTATGTAGGGCGACACAATGACTGCTGTGTCCCGTAGAGCTAGACATGAACAAACACACAACAGAGTTCAGTTTGGCCTCCCGCGAAGGCCATGGAAAAAAAGGGGAGTGGGGAAGGGCTCACCCTGAGAGCGCCACCTACAGCACGAGCACTGGAGTTGAGAGCTTTCGCCACTCCTCCGTATGTTGAGATCTTTCCTGCGGGGATACCACTGGGATTGATCGAATCATCAAGCACAAGAGAAGGCGTGTCAGTAGAGGGTTCTTCAGCAGTAAACACGCCCTACCCTGTGGACATCAGCAGTTTTCTCCAAACGCGTCACTATGTAGATGGTTCTGCAGGCTTGTTTCCTTCCTTATGTGGAATCAGGACGGTGTAGACTAGTTATATACAACGGTCAACGGCAGTTGTCCCGCACGGCGGTCGGGCTGAAAGCTTGACCTGTGCCCGTAGACATGATACCATACGTCGTGCTCTGCTCTATCTCAAGCATCCTGGAGCTCTCTGGCTCGCACAGGTGTTGGAAATAGCTGTCCTCTCTCGAGGAAACAATTGCTGCACCTGATTGTTTCGTACACCCGCGATTGGAAAGGTGTAATCTTGCTCTTGTCCCTCTTGGCGCACGGCATGGTGCTATAGCAGTGCACGTGTGCAGTCGTCGCTCCTCGGAAACAGCGGCAACTGCAGCAGAGCAGGGGGGTCGCGGAGAGCAGCGCTTCATTCTACACGTCGTTGCTGTTGTCTGCACCATAACGAAATATTCCAATCCCTGCTCAGTGCCCTGCAACATCGGCATTTCCAACTGGATCAGACGACGTCGGAATTTATTCACAGGGTCTTTCGGGCCTGCAGGCAATGCAGGTAACATTCCCTGTTTTCTGCTCAATTTGCTCAGTTTTGGCCATAGGAGAGCACTGCGCGCAAGGGATCGGCAAAAACTTGGCGCAGAACGACGCTGCCAGACCGAGAAGGAAATAAGACAGGCAGCAGCGCGCACACGTCGTGGTTATCGTTGGCTGCATGACAAACTTGCAAATTTGCAACACAGCGCGCGTGGATTTCAAATTGGTTGCTCTTACAAGTAGAGTCACGGTGGTGGCGTTCCACCTGTTTTTCACGCACCAGCAGCGTAGCCTTGACGATATCAAGTTTTGGTAACGGGGAGAGAGCGCATTCCTCCGTGGTCTGGGGTATGGTGTGCTCTTTGTACTTCGGGTGTGCCCTGCCGCTCTGCCTCGCTCGTCTCTCGTCTCGCTTGCTGTACTCTTCGGACAGTGCTGTGAGCAAATCTCGCCGCATGCCAATTCTCGCCGCATGAAACGTTAGACTATATCTCGCCGGTCGGTTGTCTCCTTCAGTCTCGACATCATCGAGTATCCTCCGTCGCCACCGCCTCGCACCTTTTGCCGCTGGCTATACACATTCTACGCATGTCGTCGCCGAGCAATGGAATCGTGGTGGTTGGGTGCGTCTCGGATGCTTCTTTTCACCGCTGCTGTCGATTAGTCAGAGTCCTGAATGACTTCGGGATTTCAGCGAGGGTCACGTTGATGCCCCTTTACGAGACTCAGTGGGAAGAGTATTTGAAAGAAAAGAAGACGCAGGTCGGAGGAAGAATATTTGAGGTACGTCGACGTTGGTTTACGTTCGGTTGAAACCAAATCTCCAATGCCTTTTGCGGTCGACAGGCTAGCCTAGAACATAGACAGACATAGAAGTATACGGTGTGCACCTGTGGTCCTGTGGTGCGCAGTGTTCGATATACTAGTAGCACAGTAATGTGGTTGAATATGGGACATGGATCTACGGAGATTGCGGTTGGTAGATCGCGGAGGAACAGGGAGTTTCTGCTTGGTTTCTTCGGAGATTCGATGAGTGATCTGAATTGCGTGACGGATAGGTGTGGTGACGCACTCTTCGGCTGCTCGGACACAAGTGTTCTCTGCTGTCCCCTCGGCCTGCTAATACAAGACTGTCTCATCTCGGCCCTCACTGGCCGAGCTGCCTTTCTCCACAAACCNGGCATCAGTTGTCGAGGATTACTGGTAACCTGGATTGTGTCTACCCACTTGCTACAGGCAGTCGGCCTTTGACCGAGCGGTGGAGTTTGACGGCAGTACCGCACGACGTGTTGTCGCGTTTTGATTGAGAAAGCGTTTGCGTTTGTCGGCATTACCGCGCGGCGTATTGCCGCGTTTATACTAGAGAAATAGTACGAGAGAGAGGTGTTTGACGGCAGTGATGGGTGGAGGTGGAGGTGGAGTTAGCGTTGGCGTTTGACGGCAGTACCGCACGGCGTAATGCCGCGTTTAGGATCTGAAGGCACGATGTAGTCGTACCGCATCACCGCATGGGTGTACACATATCGACAGCAGTCCAAAACTGACAAGTCATCACGTGCCTGTTTATGCCTACAACCCCAGTAGACGGCGGGGCTCAGCTGACGTGCAACATTGATTGGTACATCCACCTTGTTGCAGATTAAAAATACACAATAGTGACGAAATAAATGCTGATTTCCGAATATTGTTATACGTTGTCTTGAGGTTGCTATTTGTTGTGAGATTGCGGTTCCAAGTTGTTAAGGTTTTGACTCAGGATTGATTACCCTATGGTCAGAGCAGGAGAAGCGGCTGTATTATTATTTTGTGATCGAGGACTGATCAACCTCCGTTTCAGGATGATATTCAGCTATTTATTGAGTTGCAATATCGCAGTGATCGGTAATGTCAGACAAAAAAATCCGTCTCCCAGAGCAGGGGGGCACGTTGTTATTTCGGAAGGAATTCACTGTAGCTAGAGAGAAACAATAGGAAAAATACTCACGTATTTTCTGCTAAATGATCTTAACGCTCAAAGAATGTTTGGGGATGGATGCTGTTTGATCGGAAGTGTGAGAGTAGCGGATTTGTACCATGCCCAGAAGCGTATTACCTGCGAAGTGGGCATGAAACGTGTACGTTTGTTCTATGCGAAAATTTGTTTTGTCTTGGTAGGATTCATAGTCGGATGGATATAATCGGACGCACAACGAAGAAGGCGATTTTCTACGAATTGATCCGTGTTTTGGAAAGTAAATGAAGAGGAGTTCCACAGAAAGGTTTGGTTCAATGGATTGTTTAATGCTTTGAGTTGTGCGGGGGACATAAGTACTTTTCGGTGTCTTTGCGGCTAAGTGCTGAGAAAGGATGGACCAGCAAAAGAGCGTTTTGCAGAGAAGAATGAAGGCGATGGGACAAGACGTTGTGGGTTCAGGAACTTTTGCATAATCGAACTTCTTGTTTTTTTTTATTTGTCATGGAGGAGTGGGATCCACGTTTTGGGTCGTAAATGGAATTGTGATGATTTGCCGAATCATTACGAGGCATACGAGCAGGGGGGCTGTTAGATATACTCGTAGCATAGTAATGTGGTTGAATATGGGACATGGATCTACGGAGATTGCGGTTGGTAGATCGCGGAGGAACAGGGAGTTTCTGCTTGGTTTCTTCGGAGATTCGATGAGTGATCTGAATTGCGTGACGGATAGGTGTGGTGACGCACTCTTCGGCTGCTCGGACACAAGTGTTCTCTGCTGTCCCCTCTCCCTGCTAATACAAGACTGTCTCATCTCGGCCCTCACTGGCCGAGCTGCCTTTCTCCACAAACCTTCAAGCTTCGGCCTACCCGGTTTACCCAACACGCAGAGTGGTGCGTGCGCTTGTCTCCACGCCCTCTCTCAATGATATTTCTTTGTGAGGGCCCCCCCGAGAGTTGCACTTACAGCAGCATCCACGCGTACGCTCTGTTTTTGTCTCCACGAACAGCACACAGCGAAACACCTTGTGCTACAAGATGGCGGCCGGACGTACATGGGTGGGATAGAAGAGCTCATTAGGTTGGCCGAGGCCACGGTTGCCCCTCCGTTCGATAGGAGCGAAGGCGACAATACGGATTGGGTTGCAATAGCGCAACATCAGTGTGAGGTGAGTTACTGTGCGTAGTAGCAAGACCATTTCCCTCTTGTCCCTATGTTTCTAGATACTCTAAGAGGGTACAACTTGACTGGCTCTTCAACGTAGAGTCCATGCCTGGAAGCCCCCACCGTAAGGCACCATATACTGTATAAATAGTCTACGTATGTATGTAGCCCTTGGTGGAGAACGAACGGAGGGATTGGGGACACCTGCAGCTGAACGAAAGGAGGGCGGCCATGATGACTGTGTTAAGTTGAAGGGAGCTACAGATAAGCCTGTCCTGAAGTAGTTCTTGAAACTGCATGCTCTACGTATGACCGTTGAGATTCCCTGTGAGAACACACTCATGATATGAGCTTGAGAGCTGGCACAATCGCGTAAAGCGCGGCCAAATGTTTTTGTCGTGCTCTGATACGTCACCTGACCCCGTTCTCACCTTGTGTGTTTCTCTTGCCGATGTCCACGCTCGATTCGCAGAAACACCTCGCTAGCAGCCAGTGCCCATTGGTGTTCATGGATATCTCTCTAGATCCATCCGCCCGACCACAGAGAGTTGTGTTCCAGTTGTACAGCCAAGACTGCCCCACCACGTGCGAGAACTTCCGGTCCCTCTGCACGGGCGAGAAAGGAATGTCGTCAAACGGGAAAAAGTAAGCGCAGCAATGGGGTTAGCTAATTGCGGGATCCAAGTTGCTGGACATGAGTCTGCCTCTGACCCAACAGATAACGCTCTTCGCACTTACATTGTAAGGTTCAGGACCTCCGGGTGTCGCTCCGAAACAAGGCGACTGTAGCTGGAGCATGGCCACGCATCACTACTTTCCCGGGAGCGTGCATCCCGCACCCCGAAATGTATCATTTTCCAGAAGTGGGGGGAAACTGAACGTGCAAGATATATGATCGACACTTGATTTTGTCCAATCTTGGCGATACATACGCGCAAACAAAAAAGGCTCAACTACAAGGGGAGCCCCTTCCACCGCGTGGTACGAGACGGATGGGTGCAGGGAGGGGACATAGTGTCCGGGACCGGGGACGGCGGCTGGTCGATCTACGGAGAAGTCTTCGGCGACGAATCCTTCGCGATCAAGCTGAACGAGGCCGGAGTCCTGGCCATGGCAAACGACGGTCCGCACACGAACGGCTCCCAGTTCCTAGTCACCCTCGCGCCCCAGCCGTGGTTGAACCACAAAGTGGTCGGGTTTGGCAGGTGGGAGGATATCGACTGTCCTTTGCGTCGATGATATGCATGATCGATTTTAGGCGTCGAGGGTCCTGGGAAAGACGTAATAGGGCCTGAGAGGTCTCGACCACGCTCTGACTGTCAATCGCGGGTCAGCACAAAACTTAGCAGGCGAGAACGTTTATTTGTTGTGTGGATCTCAAGGGATCGGTCCCTCTGTTCAGGTCTAGTGTAAACCCTCTCTCCGCTCACGACATGATCCCCCTAGTCTCCGGGCCGGGACCGAATCAGAACCAGGTGATCAGTGAGCGTAGCATGTGTGGAAGGTAGTCCACACCGTTAGAGTTTGTACAAACGGGTGGTTGGACACTTACTTGCGATTGCAACTGGTAGTCCATGTTAACCCCTTTGGGTCTACCTCTTTTTTTTTTTTGCGGCAAAAAATATAAAGGGAGAGTGCGGGGAGAGACAGGAGTACAGCAGAGAGAAGACGAGTGTACTTCTGTAGACGTAACAGCTATCTCCACCCATAGGCCATGAGGGCTGCCCGCGACAGGACGGTGGACACAGACAGGATCATAGAAGGGTTGATGCGTGGTCGCGGTGCGGCCGGTAGCGCAGTTTAGGCTTGTCGACCTCGAAAAGATCAGTCGCCAAGCCGCCTGAGCTAGTCTATTTTGAGTATACTCGAATGATCAGTGAAAATGATCAGTGAGGGCTTGTAGACCCACAGCTGGTTCTTGTACTTCTGTACTTCTCTGTCCCCTCCCCAATATGAGCCCTGCCGGCTCACTACAGCTCCTGTGATTTTCCCACAATTCCCACAAGCACGCAAGTACATACCAGCACACACCTACCTTTGCATCAGTGGCTCTCTAGGGTCGGGCGAGGGTATGTGTGGGGCTATGCTGATAGTGTATGTGTTACTACCTACTCTGCTGTAAATGCTGGACCCGTATATACTNCACTACAGCTCCTGTGATTTTCCCACAATTCCCACAAGCACGCAAGTACATACCAGCACACACCTACCTTTGCATCAGTGGCTCTCTAGGGTCGGGCGAGGGTATGTGTGGGGCTATGCTGATAGTGTATGTGTTACTACCTACTCTGCTGTAAATGCTGGACCCGTATATACTGCTGCTGCTGTGTAGAATAGCCGCTGACATGATGACTGTGCTGGATCTTGGGAGTGTACGATTTTCGAATTTGGAGGATATGCAGCATACCCCGATATCTTGGCCTGTTTGGGCTTGATGTGCCCCTTTTCGCTGTCCCCCTGTCTTTGCTTTAGTGGCTTCCTAGATTCGGGCGAGGGCATGTATGGGGAGCTATTGATGTGTGTCTCTGTGAAAGGATATCGGGAGAGATTTATGGTCGTGTTCGCATTTAGAGCAGTGTGCATTTTTCTAATTTTGGCCGTTCCAGGGACCTTGATATTTCCCGCTGGCACAAACGTCTTTTCATTGGCCACCGGGTAGCGCGGCCGATGCGAATAATATAGACACACCTACCTATTGACTTGCCAACACCTGGCGTGGAGGGATACAGGGTGTGGACTCCATGGCATGCCACAACACCAGCATTTACAAATGATCAATCAATGATCTATCAGGACGCCTGTAGATCCAAAAGGGTTAAAACCCTTCATGTGCACTGTAGCAGCCAAACAAGGATAGCTGGATGACCATCGAACGAATTTTTTAGAGTACATTACTTCAATCATTGAGTGCAACGCAATGAGCTCTGCATTCCCCACCAAAACCTGGTACTATACTCTCGCACCCGGTCGCATGAGGACTATCTCACACTTCTGATACACATCGGCACATCGGCAACCCTCCTTGGTGATCTACTGCGCTTGGGTAAATGGCACTGGCAGGGTCATCAAGGGTCTGAAAGTGCTGCGAGAGATGAGTGAGGGAGAAACCCTTAACCAACGCCCGGTGATGGAGTGCAAGGTCCACAAGTGCGGGCAGATCACTCCCGAAGACTTCGCCAAATTTACGTGCAAGTAGCCTCGCCCGCCGTCGGTAATAAGACAAGCACGTTTCCCGGGCAGGGACCTCCTCTGGTGCATCCCCACTTGACATGAGTACCTTTTCCTAGCCCAACCGCAGCGGCACCAAGGAAGAAAGGTTCATCGGATGTGGACAACACAACCTACCTGAACATTGTTTTTTGCGTGTCAAATGCTGTGCCCGTTCTCCGTATGAGTTTGAGTGCACGGGCTCATTGTTGGAAATCGTGCGCTAGCTACATAGACTAGAGCGACACTTTAATGGAAAACAAACTTTTCCGAAGACGTTTTCATGTGTGTACAGTAGTTTCGGGCGAACGACCTGCGCGTCTCATCGTCCGATTCACGCTGAAACAGTACACGTTTTGTTTTGGAAGAAGAGCATTTTCAAGAACCCACCCAGTGGTCTCGATGGTGAGTTCGTCGGCCGATGACGATTGTGGAGCGTGCTTGCCTATATGTTGGCGGCTTTTTGGTTTGAAGCAGACGTTTCCTTCCATGACTCCGCTAAGAACAAACAGTGCGCATACGTGCACCAATAACCCCCTGCCGCCTGTTCGTGCATGGGTCTCCACTCCTCATATCATGCGATCTCCCAGACGATGGTTTGGAGTTCAAGTGTCGGGGCGCATATTATTGTTCTTGTCGATGTGATAGTTCCGTAAACAAGCCTGTAAATATTATCTACTATCGTGTTTTTTTTTTAACCGGCGAGTATTGATTCCGATATTCCCCCCTTGCAATAAAACCTAACTGGTGAGAGCGTGTTAGACTGCGTCGACCATGAAGCAACGTTTTTCTCCTTGGTGAACCAAGAGGGGGTGTACCATACGTAGCGGCGATAGACCGATATTCCCACGGGAGCCTGGAGAATTATATAACCACAGGCAACTAGGTACGTTGAAGTGCGCAGAGGTGACTACTCTGAGCATGTAGGGCGTGGATTGATAGGATCGAGGTTCCATGTGTGTCACCACCTCTCGATTCCAATCCGAGGGTACCCGTATTGGATTCCTACATCCGATGCCTACCTGGCGATGCTGATCACCACCAAGTGTGAGAAGGAGATCTGTACCATTACCACTGTGCCTATGCGCCTAACTGCCACGATACGGGCCTAACGGTGAACTGCTGTGACGCTGACCCCACGGAGTGGACATTGGACAGCGATTGCTTGCGAAGTCTTGACACGCTAACCGGCCTGCTTTGCCTGATCGAACTCACAGCAGAGGTAAGCCACATGGTCTGATGACATAAAAGAACACGAGAGCGTGCGTATCTCCGTAAACTAGTTATGAACAGACTGAGCGCTCAACCTTTGCTGCTACATGGTACACGTACGGAGTATCGAACTCCGGGCGTAACCGTGGGAGAGTTACTCGCTGTCTAACCGGGCTATCGAGTTGTGCTGCAAAGGATCAGAAGACGTCACCACGTTCCGCGCCGTTCTCATGCAACGCATGGACTTCGACACACGAGTCCTGCAGAACCAACCGGTCGACATGTAGGTGCTGGGTTCAGCAGGCATGGAGCGGCGAGGCGACATCACTCGTACCTGCTTTTACCGTTTCGCCGACTTCCTTGGGCAGCACTCCATCTACTACAAGGGTCCCACAGCCAGCCATTCCAACACGAGCGCCGTCCACGCACTCGGAACACGCCGCTCCAATCGGCTCCCACCAGGACAGATGGTTTTCTCTTTGCAACTTCAGCAGTCAGGTGATGTGTATGCCCTCGACGCCAGTGAACACGACGAGGACGCGACGGACCCCTACTCGCATAATGCGGGGGGCCTTCGCGGCGATCCACAGCTCGTAGCTTTCCCCGCAGCCGGAGCCAAACCCCCCGCCGCTGTCGCAGCCCCCCAGGATACCCCTGCGGGGGGGAGGCCTAGGTTCGAGATCCTCAGGAGGGACCCTACGCATGCAGAACCGCGTAACGACCGATCGGAATCACGCAGGAGCGGTCCGGCATCTGGCCGGGCAGCCCAACCCGATGGTCACTCCAGCCGTAACGCCCGCCTTTTGACTGACGGCGAAGCGGCGGACACGTCACGCAAACGGGAGGCCCCTCGAGACTCAGCAGGAACCACCACCGACAGGATTACTCGTCGCCTTCGTGGTAATGCGGACCGTTCCACGGTGACGCCCGAGGCTAGGGCCCGCAAACCACTGCAACGGGCGGCGGATGCTCCATAGCCCGATGCGGCAGAGGGCGTCATCCAGAGGTGCATCCTCGACAAACGGGTGTGCTTCCGCCACGCCCGGGGTAACACCTGTGGACGCATGACGTTGTTGGCTGCGATCAACGGTGCTGACTTCGCCGCGGTCGACACCACCGCCGTCGACAACACTTCCGAGACGGACCAGCTGGATATCGACGCCTGACGGTGCGAAGGTCATACCACCGATCAACCCCTGGGGAACTCTACGCGAGAGCATCGTGGGCGGGGGTTGGCTGCCGGCACATCGTCTCAGGACTCGCCGGGCACAACTCCCACTGCTGCTCTTTCGGGGTCATCCAAAGGATCCCACCAATCATGGGTCAAGGCTTGCCTGTGGAACTCCATCAAGCGCAAGAGGGGCTACACCTTGACAGTCTTGCTGGATACTGGAGCGGGTGGAGGAAACTACGCTTCAGTCAAGCTCATCAACGCCGTACAACGCCACGTGTTCGGCGGAAAACGCATCATATCCAAGAGGGGGCGAGGGTTCCTACACGCAGCCAACCCCGCCAAAGATGCAGTGCCACCGATGTCGATCGTCGGGACGGCTATCTTACCGCTGGTTTTTCCTCCTGTGGACCGTGTCTTCCGTGCCCGTGTACGGGTCGTCGCCGACCTTCCCTTCGGCATGATCCTGGGCGCGGCATACATGCGCCACTACCACAGTGTTCTGGACTTCAAGGGCACCGACTCGTTCAAACCATCGAGGGACGCCCCTAGGATGCCCCTTTTGCCGGTGGAGCATCAACGGAACGCTCAACCTTGGAGGGATGGGGCGAACTACTTACAGCTTGGTGAGAGACCGGGTGTGTCCATGGCTCCTGGTTGGAAGGCCGCCCGTCACCATGTGCGGTCGGGGCGGGTACGTGGCCAGGAGACGGGAAGCATCGTGTCGGCCACGGAGGACGTCGGCTGTGAGCCCCGTGGACCACCGAATTCGGGCGTCTTCTGCTCTGTGGAATGGCGTGCATCACAACAGACGACCACTGACGCATCACCAGCCGAAGCCGACTTGATGGCGGCTCTCGACCTGTGATCTACGGCGTGGGAGGACACCACCTCACTCCAGTGGCCGGTGTACTTGACCCGCAAACAGGTGGTCCCGGGGAGGGGGAGTGTCGAAATAGACGCACTCATGCACGGCCCTCGGCCGTTTCGGCGCAGTTATTGGTCGTGTTTCCCCCTGCGACCATTCGACCCTGGGGAAGGCGTGGATATCGGGGTACCCAGGGGAGCACAATGGTGGACCCCGGGGACATCTCCGAAAGTCAAACTCACCAATCGCACGACCTCTGCCAAGTCCATCGATGCGGATCCCGTGGAAAAGGGGCAAGATGCGGGAGTGCAGGTCGCCATCGCGTACGCCACCAACTGCGACGATGTGGAACGGAGCAAGAGCGAGACACAAGCCCATCCCGTGGGGAAAGGGGCTGGACGACGCCTGCGCCGCCATCATCAGGACTTTGGTGTCACCACCAGTGTTGGTACCACCGAACTGAGAGTTGCCATTCACCCTACACACCGATACAAGCGAAAAGGCTGCGAGAGCGGTACTCATGCAGCTGGTCGACCACCGCGATTCGGCCATCGGCTTCGGTAGCCACCGGTGGATGCTCGCGGAGTCGAGACGGGTACCCACAGACCGTGAGGTTCGGGCAGCCCTCTTCGGCGTGGACCACTTCAGGACATACCTCCTGTATCGGCCCTTCACGCTCATGACGGACTGCTCGGCGATCATCTGGCTGTTCACCAGCCAGCACCTGCCTTCCACCATGTACAGGTATGCACTCCGCATGATGGAGTTTTCGATGACTCTACAGTGGCGTAAGGGCACCGAACACACTGTGCCGGATGCACTATCTCGTCTCCCGCAGAAGGGGCAGCAGGACCTCCCGTGGACACGTCCTATCCAGATGACACCACAAGCTTCGAAGGACGCAGTCACGAACCCATAGGGCCAGCGCTCGACGGTGTCCACCTCCAGAATCTGGCACGGGAGGACACGAACGACCACTCCCCTGGCCCACGGCGCGACACTGACGATGCCGGCCCACCGGGGACAGGGACGCCAACGCTCGACGGTGTTTCGTTAGCGGCTCTGGGAGCGACGGAAGTTGACCATGGACCTTTGCTACCCCTGACGGTTGTCTGGGCCCTACAACACACGCCGGAGGCACCGGACCCGATGAACCACCAGAGATGTCTGGCCTACGAGGATGTACGTCACGCCTTGACTCTGAGGCGCCCGAGGGCGTGCGTCTTGTGGTGTGGAGCTGGCGGTGCTCTGGTTGCCCTGGAGGAAGTACTACAGATAGGTGCAGCGATCGAGCCGGAATGGACAGCGCTGGAGTGTGTGCGAACCAACGCGTGGGGCCAAGAGGTCCAACTGCTACGAGCCCCCTTAGCTTGCCCCCGATGCAGGGGAGCTGTTACCGGCGCCAAACCGGCGATCCTCATCGGCAACGCGTGTCGCCGGTATGATCCTGATCGGATGGGCAACACGGCAGCAAGGCAAGCCACGGACATCATCAACGTCTTCCTGTCGAGCCGAGCACGACTCCTGAACGTGGAGTGTCCGGTGAGATTTGCGGGGACCACCGAGTGGCGGAGTACCTTACGGCCACTCCTGGAGCATCACCGAAGCTTTGTGGAGGAGGCAACGCTGACAGCTATCGACGTGGGCGTACCCACACGGAAGCAGAGGGTCTTCATTACAGCGTGCTAACAACAACCTGAGAACGCCATGGCGAAGCTCTCCGCAAAGCTCTCCAAGTGGAAGCATCACATCCAGCAACCCATGCCAACCACACCCACCGTCGGTTCTTTCCTCAATTGGGGCGGCCAATACTTCTTGCAGAGACCGCCAGGCGAGGAAGCGATCTTCCCAGCTGATACACCGTCACCGACCATCACCCACGTGCATATCATGGGACGTCGACCACCGCCGGCTGCCTACCAGGCACACCCAGCGGACGCCGGAACTTAGGACACAGC